AGGAAAAAATCACACTCGTTCCTGCAAAGGAAAGAAAAGCATGCAGAAACAAACAGTTCTAGAAAAATGAACTCTAAATTCTATGCAGTTTCCCCTTTCCAAGCTTTAACATCCTCACCTGATACAAATTAATGTCTATTCTATCATGAAATTAACCATCAAAAAAAATGCTCCATTTCAGACAATTAAAATATCAATATATAGTTCTCCCTGTAATATCTGCCAGCCACTGCAATTCACCTGAACTAGAATTTAGATTACATATTCAGGAATTAATTTGCCTATCTTTCTTTCCGCTACCCTGTCTGAGTACTACCAAAGACACCTGACCTAAAGGATCCTCTGCCATTTTCTGTGCTGGAAGTAATGAAATCCCTCATTCTAATCTTTCCAACTTCCACCTAGTAAAGCCTTCAGCACCAGGAAGTAGATGATAAGTAAATTAAACTGATGTGTCAAATTCCTCCCATCTTTACACTTACTTATGCACACCCATAAGCTCTTAAATAACTGAATATTTCATATTTCAATTATAGCTAGTATTATGCCATATTTCTATTTTAATACTTCAGTAAGAATACAAAGTTCAACATTCGGTTTCAAAATGCCAGAGCTAATTAACCTAATGCCTGCAGACCTTTTTCTTTTTTGCATGATCACATACTATTTAATCCATGCAACTTGAATGCATCATTCATGTTTATGAGGAATGGTTTTCAAGGATAAAAATCAATTCTAATTGACGTTCTAGCATCGCTTTTCCAATAGAACTTCATAGACTTCAAAAGGCAAATTGATCAACAAACACAACCATGTGAAACACCACTGCTCCCTACGCTAGTCATCAAGAAGGCACAACCTTTATAACAGCACTGATCTCTTCCACTTGACCTGAGGGAATATATGAGGCAATCAAGCCCTGCACACACAAACTCTGAGGAGGAGCTAAGACACACACTGGCTGCTTGCTATACGCAGATAAGCGCTCACTGCAGAGTAACATCAAGAGTCCAGAAACCGCTGATCTGCTTCAGGTTACAGAGTGAAAACCGCTCAGACTATAGTCGTCTTTATTGCTTCCAACTGCAGTTTTCAGGAAACAAAAGGTCTTCCTCCAGGTAATGCATCACAGCACTGTTTCAGTGTTAATACTTTCAATCTTACAGTTGTTTTCTGCAAGTTAGAGTGGGAGGATTTAAGAATTGCCAAGAAAAATCACAAAATGAGAAGAACAACACTTTTTGCTTCAGCTATTTTATATTGAGACTAGACTGACCTCATTTTAAGAGTCACAATCTCCACATGTGAGGAGTAACACATGTTTCCGACTATCTTAATTCTGTACAGTACACAGATCCACTAAAAGCTACCTTAAAATTTACTATTCACATAATTGACCTAACTAAGGTGGCTGTTGTCCTGCACAAACTTATGCTCATGAGCACCCCTATTAACAGAGCAAGAAGTTACATGTGTCTTTGGTGGGCTCTCTCTCCTCCATGGAAAAATGGCAAAGAAACAGTGCCTCTAAAAAAAGTACAACCAATTTTAATTCCCATATTACTGAAATTCTGAAATTAAGCTTGCTAAAATTGGCATTATGTAGCCTACCACATGGAACTGTATGTTACTTCTCTGCAAAATAACTTTATTAGAACTAAAACATCAGTAAATGTAAACTGGTGTAAGATCTACATCAGTTTCCCCTTTGGTTTTGGTACAAGTTTAATTATTAACCTTCACTGTTGAATAGTTAAACACAACGCATATTGTTTACACAGTCATTATTCTTCTACTGTTAAATCAATATTAGAAAAGGATAGAGACTGACCAGTTGTAAACTTGAAGGACTAGTGGATATTTTAATGCAATGTAGGTTTTTTTTTTTTTAAATAGTGAGAAGCACTAAGTTACTTAAATAACCATCAGAGTTTGTTTTTAACTCTGAAATTGAAATCTTTCTCTCTGGGAAAAATTCTGCATACAACTTCTTTAGGAATGCAACCTAAACCCAGTACAAATAATTTGTCTAAAAATCAATCAATCAGAACTTTTATGCACCCTGTCAAGTAAGACTTTCCACAACAGTTTTTATTTTGTCGCTATGATTCTATGAAGCTATAGATCATGATAAAAAAAGTCTTCAAATGCTTTCCTGATGAAATGCAAATATAGCCTCAGTGATTCCAAATGAAACGGACAGTCATCTTCCCAACCTCAGCCATTGTAGAACTTCACTGAGGAGCAGAGAGACAGGAAAGAAAGATTAAGGGCATACTATAATTTTCATGCATGTTTCCTAATTATACACTGAACAAATTAAAAGTTTTTGTTGGTTATTTAAAAATAGACCATCTTCTTTTACAGCTTACATTCTGATGGTAGGAGTCTTTCAAGATTACAAGAAATTACAGGTTTAACAGGCAGCACTGAAAATTCATGCAGTTCGCTTCACGGGTGCCCTTCCTTCAGTTTATGTTTGGTGTAGAGAGAAGAATGGAATTTATTTATATGCAGTCAGTTTACAATATTTTAGACTTACAAATGTATTTTCTCACACCCAAAAAAACAAAAGCAGAAATTCTCATTGAGGACTCAATGTTCTAAACTTTAACTATTTTTACATAACCTCACCCACACACAGAGAAACTCTAGGGTTTTGTTTGTAACACTAAATAGTTTTCTTGCTAAAAATAAACTTCAAAAGCAGTTGGAAGAACTGTGTGTTTCGTTCCCTCAAGTCTCCTGAGGAAAACTTACCTTTGGAAAGATACCAAAGATGGCCTTATATACAAACACATCAAAGAGTTATACTACTACTTTTTGCAACCTTAATCAGAAGGGTCATCTTTAGCAAATTCTATACGTTACTTCTACTTGAAGTAGAAATACATCCACGTGAAACAGACTCTGTAGTTTCCTTATTCTTTCCAGATAAGTCACATTGCCCATCTGGGTAACCTTTCCAGTCTCACACTTTTTTTTTTTTTTTTTTAAATTAATTATATTGGGATTGTAGCAAGTTCAGTTCATCCTCTTCAAACTCATCTGCAAAAAGTTTTAATCAAGGCCCCACTTTAACTAAGCAGCCTTTTAAATGTGTCATTGTTCCGTTTCTCCATGCAATTGTGCTGATAGGAAGCAGCAGTATTTCCTGAAGTGCAGCCACCAGGCATCTCTGAGATTCTGAGGTTATACGTTTCTGATACGAGTTATTATACTTGGCTAATACAGCACGCTTCATAAAGCACATGCAGGCAGTCTTTTGAGAACCATTCAGAAACAGAAAAGGTTTAAGAATACAGAGGTTATTGGACATGCACAGCACTGAGTAGCCTTTGAAGACGTATGGCTGATCAGGTACCTACAAATCACACAGACAATCCAAACGTGACTATTTATGTATGTGAAAAAATTGTTCTGAACAACATATAAATCTAGACCTATCGCTCCGGTACTTGGAATTATGTACAAGATCTGCACTTAAGATAGTTCTAAAATAATTATTTCAAGTTACCAGAGAGCAATGAGAGTTTCATGCTTTGGAAGGAGAAAAAAAAAAAAAAAACCCACCACCACAACTCCTAGGCTGTTTGTCTTATCTGCCAGGTATCCAAATGGCCTATTAACAAGACTTCCCTAACTACATTTTTAACAATTTTGTTTCCTGATCAGTTCCATCTATTTCACTTGAATAATTCAAAACAAGAAATAAGATCCTAACTTCAAACATTCTTATACAGTAATAAAAAAAGGAAAAGAGTAAGTGCTATAAATATCTTTTCATTTTTCATAGACACAAGGGATATGCATAAACATACAGAATCTACTAATAGCAAGAGTAGGCATTTCAGAAAGCTACCAAGTCTGCACTCACGGAAACAAAGATAAGTATCACACTCTTATGAATCTATTCAAAGTTAACACACACTACTAATGCAGAACGCCGCAGTATTTCACAGAAATAGCAATAAAGTAACTGTTACTACTGGAATTTTGCAAAAAATCAGAAGAAGCAGGAAAAAATATTTTTGCCCATCCAAATCTACCTCTTGGAATATGAATCTGAAATACCTCAAAACTTTCCAAAGCTGAAAACTCTTTAAATTGCAAGTAACATTTCCTAAATAAGATGAGAATACAGTTCACTTGAGATCTGTTCCTTCCTCCCTCTCAATTCGCAGAAGACCAAAAAAACCAACACCCAAATAAGCTGTCAGGTGCAGTCTCTGGAAGGTTACAATCATAGGAACGGGGACAGGCAGTTGACTGTCTCACCCACGCACATCTCCACCAATGAAATGTGGTAAAGTTCCTACAAAGCGTTTCAGTAAAACGACAAGCCAGCATGCTAAAGCAGCTCTTTCCCAGCAGCTGGCAAAAAAACAGCATGACATCCTCACTGACCAACAGATCATTTTAAAGCTTTCCACAGCACACTCGAAACCCTAATGCATTAAATGAAATTAACATCTAAAGGCACCAACTCCAGTTAAGCTTCCCTGTACAGCTTTGTACTTCATTCATCCTCCTCTCCCCCTTCAAACATACTTCACTCACATCAAGCCTGGAGTTCTGCCTTTAGAACACACCAATACCCACAAGACTGAGAAAACAGGGACAGAGGGGACAATCAAACAAAAAACAACCTTTGCACATCTGGTTAATTATACATTACCCAATAAAGGCAAGTAGGAAAAAAACCACAGATAAATCAAAAAAACCTCACTTCTTCATTCCCCATGACAACCAGCACAGTACTTGATTACTCAACTCTGGCAAGCATCAATGCCAATTGGTACTGGCCACCAACTCCTAACTCAGTCTGGAATCCATCCACAGACCTTAACCCCATTTGTAATTTATGTGCAACGAACATGAAATCCTGTAGTTGCATATTTCGTTCTGCTTTAGCAACATGAGTTTTACTCAAGTCAAGTATGGGAGTAGCTAGAAAAAGGGCAGAACTACAAATAAAGTTAACATATACACTTTAATATGGGATTTATTGGAAGGATCTCCAACTGTTTTTCTAAAAATTCCAGAGTTTAAGTTTGGGCTAACTTGGTGAATTAAAAACTAGACGTAAAATGCTTACATTTTAAATCCAGTTAAAAAGGGAAATTAGTGCACTATTTTTAGTTTTTCTGTGTAAAATGTAAAAATTAACTGCTAAAAAATTACAGTAGAGCTGTAGTTAACTGAAAGTATTTAACCTACACAAAGAGGAAAAGAGCAAAGCACTACCTTGCTTCCTCAAAGAGTCTAGCACAGCAACTCCTACAACACAAGATACGTGCACATAATGCAGCCTCTGTGTGAATGAATTAAACACACAAACGTCTCAAAAATATCTTCTCTCTTCTGCCGGCTGAAGTGATTGCAACAACCCAACAAAGTTTCATTTTTATAAAGAATGACTGCATCGGTATTTTTTACCATTGATGCAGATGCAGAAAAAGAAGGTAGAGAGTCTGTGACAGCAGCAGTTACCGTCGCTTGGACTTCTGTACATCTTGAAGAGCTAGTATTCATATTTCTGGTCCACTCAGCGTCGGCACACGTACAAGCGCATCTCGGGTCTCCAGCTCCTCCTTTGGAGACGCAGAGACCATAAGCCCAGTTTGGTGGCTGAACTGTTTACATTCTAGCAATTAGCTGGACAGTCTGGGCAAACATTCAGGGCAAATTATTTTGAATTTTTTTACATGCTGTCTCAAGTTCTAACACTAGTTATGGTGAGGAGATAAAGAAAATCTTTTTCCTCTCCTTCTCCCATGAAAGAAACCCCCCCACAAAATTAAAAACTCTTATCCCACAGGATAATCAGAGGCTTTTCAATCTCTCCTGCTGCTTATAGTCACCTGGGTGAACACAAAGCTGAAGAATCACAGCAGAGGAATTAAGCCTTGGCAGGTGCACAGATCTAAACAGACAGAAGAGGTAGCAGTATGCTTCTAGCCATTCAGCTAACTGGGGAATCACAAACTGCATGTGACAGTTCCAATTTAAAGGAAGGGTGGCTGTCACAGAACATGCATGAAATTAAGGCTTATGAACGCTTACCTGGAGCACTGAACTAATTTAAACTACTGCTTTTCTTCCTTTGTTCCAGTTGCCCTGCACCCTGGGATGCCCATCTCTACTTTTATTTCCACAGGTAACAGCTGACTAAGAGATTTTCACCAAGTTCTCGCTACTCTAACATATCAAGATTTATGTTGCAATCTGTTTTGAGTAACATGAAGCCTGATAAAAACAGCATCTCATTCTGTGATCATCTCAAGAAATTACAACAAATATATGTAATAACTTCCAAAACTTTGTAACATTAATATTTGAAACTACTATTACACAGATGAACATTAGCAAGAGCAAGTTACCATCACATATTACGGTTTGTCACCTACACAATTATCAAATACAATAGAGGCACAATTAACAATCTAAAACCTTGTGACAGCCCAGCAATTTTGCCCAGGACTTGATCTAAATCGTAAAGAACCCCCTTCCCCCAACCCAAGGAACTAAAAAAAAAGTTCATGAGGAACTAGCCATGTTTCCATTCCACATCTAAACTCCCCTTGCTCTCCTCTGACTCTGTCTGTATTTAGTTCACATCTGTACACTGTTCCGGCTCAGTGGAACAACATCTTAAAAAAGCAATGGAAAGTTCTCCACTGTCATACACAGAGAAATATGAGCTTTTCCCAGGATAAATCTTTCATCAGCATGCCTTATGTCAAAAGGCTCATTATTATTAATAAACTCCTCAATCTGAAATCACTTTTCATATAATTTCACTGAAGTGAATGGACTTTTACCAACCCTTTGTCTATCTGATTGTTAGTAGTATTTTCAGAGTCTGAAATAATACTCGCACACCCCCTTACTGTTATACTATTGCTGTTCTACAGAGAAAGACTAGAGTGCTGTCAGGACTAAAACTCAACACAAACATGCATTAGTTTTGTCTGCTGAAGTTCAGTTTCACATACGTTCAAGCAAGGCAATATGGTTGGAACAGAAGCCTGGAAATTTAGAGTGAAACCTTAATCCCATAGAAGTCAATTGTAAGTCTACCATTGACTTCAGCAGTGCCAAAAGTATGAGGAATTTTCTTCTGCAGAATTTGGGTAACAGATAACCACACCTATCAAGTGATTTGACATCTCTCATAAGTTATATGCAAGGTATTAAGACCAGTGCAACTGCTGCACATCAGATGCAAATCCAGTGCAATACTGTTAAGTCCCCATCATTCCATGAAAGAAACCCCACTGAAAATAATACATCAGACAAAGCCTTCTTCACTATATTACTTTAGTCTGCAATTTAAAAAAAGTATGAAAAAGAATGACTACTGAAAGCAAAAAAATCATCTATTTAAAAACAGAGTTTATGGCTTATAGATTCACCCTTGCACAGCCTGTCTTCAAAGGAGTCACTTGTCATAGAACCCAGAACACAGTAAATGAAAAAAACAGGCAACATCAGAAAAAAAAAAAAACTATGTAACGCCCCAAACCACTCAAATAACAACCTTTGCAGCAACTCATATATGCATACATAATAGTGCCCAGTACCCTGCTCCCCACAGAATAAACAGTAGCTCTACCCAGATGCTGCTCCTGTTGATCACAACAGTTGATTGTGACCACAACAAATACCTGACAAGTGAACAGTTCAGTAATTTTTCATTTCTTGCCTGCAGGAATAACTGATTTTAAATTACTGTTTTCACAACTCCCCCAGTTCCCAAGATTAGATCAAAGCTGTCCCAGAGATCAGAAATCCTTGACACTAATATGAATTATATATGCAGAGTCGATGCCCAATGCTTTTGGGCACTTCATTGTCTTGCCTGCCCAAAAATAAGCAGGAAGGCAAAGAGGAAATCATCATAAACATACCTGTCCACGCAATGACTCGTTAATCAAAAGATACCTGGTGGATCTGCTAGCCTTAACATTATTTTAATAAAGACATTGATACCTTTATCAATAGAGTTAATTAATTTTTCTTCTGAATATTCATGACTGACTTCATACGGATATCAGCTGACTATATCAATGTGTAGTTCACATTCTTTTCTTAATACAAAGTTGCTATTTGGTCTCAGTTTCAGCAAGGTTTTTGTCATAGCAAAATACACTTAAAGGTGTAACTTGACAATAGTTCAAGGTTTCAAGACAAAACAGAGAAGCTGATCTGCATTTCAAATCCTATCACATCCGTATCTCAAAATGAATTTTCATTCTTTGCTAAATATGAGAAACTTTCTCTAGAGTCCTACTTTGACAGCATGCACTAGGATGCCTGATGACTTGCTCGCTCCAGCCCCCTCTATAACTAAATTTATATAAAAGCCTCCTACTTTCTAAAACATGTCTCAGCTAGAAGGTCATAGACCTCCTATGTTCAGCATCATGATGTTGCTAAGATAACGTCTAAATGCAGATGGTGGACTTATCAGTATAGCTTACGTATGGGACACACAGGCCGTAAGATGTCAGATCCTCAACAAAGACGATGCTTAAAAATAAACAAACAAACAAAAATCCAACAAAACAAAACAAAACTCTAACAGTTTCTAGTTAATTTGTTTTCATATGCCAAAAAAAAAAAAACCTTTAAATTTACAGAAAAAAAATTAGCTTCAGTTATTTCTAATGCAAAATCTACTACATTTATGGTTATGTGTCTCCAAAATCTTATGCTTAGGATATTCAGGAAGGTTGCTTGAATAACTACCATAAGCTTCCTCAGGAATTATTTTTTAACCAAGTTTTCTTCCTTGTGGCTCTCTTCCAAATCAGAACAAAGGTAGGTATGCAGAGGGGCTGCTCTCCAGCCTCTCCTAACACTCCAAACATTCTCAAAATTAAAGGAGACAGAAAGGAAAAAGCAGGAAATAAGATCAGGAGACGGAAAGAAGAAACAGATTTCAGAACTCCAGAAATAACAAGGGGTTTATCAACTCATCTGAAGAAAAAGGAAATAAATGAAGCGAGGAAGGGGGGAAAAAAAACATACAGATAATCAGAAGAAGAGATGTAAACAAGCTGATTAAATAACATATAAAACTTGCTGTTAATTTCACTGCCACTTGTCAATTAACATATTCAATTGCTTTGTGATGTCCGATCAGCCT